TAATAATAATAATAATAATAATAATAATAATAATAATAATAATAATAATAATAATAATAATTCTTTCGAAGAATTATGGTAGAAGAATAATCGTATCGGATCGAAGTTGGTTAATTTTGAGGAGGAGGAATATCATCCGATCAATCTTTTTCAATGAATGAAAGTATAGAAGATACGTTTTACGAGAGAGATCAATCTTGTTTCTTGCTTATTTCCTGATTTGAGACGAACGATTGATTTTTAAGATCATGGACGATGCTTCGATCGAAAGTCATTAAAAAAAATGTTCAAGGTTGGCTACGATAATTTAAATAATAATGTAAAATTGGTTATCGAACGCTCGAAATTAAATTATACTTCTAAAATTTCGATATTCCTTTTCAATTAATATTTTATCGCGATATGTATTATATAACGCGAATCAATAATTATTCACCTGTTTTTAATTGATGTTTACGTTGAAACATAGGCAATCGATGGAAATACACACAATTTCAGATATTAACTTACATTAAATTATATATTTTATCTTTAACAATTATTCTCAATTTTTATTATTTCTACAGAACCACTTTTAATTAATGCATTTCGTTAACATTTGAAATTAATAATTTTCGATTGAAAACATTATTTAATATTACGCATGCAGAGTTAAATTTTATCACACAACATATTACAAATTATTATATTTATTTATGCGATTATTCCATTATTTATTTGTTACACACATCTGCATATTACATGATTTTTGTAAAATTTTGTAGAAAAAAAACCCTTTCATCTCGGACATATTTCAATGACAACCAACTGATGATCACGAAACGTTACGTACCACGAAAATCTGACGTTCAATAATCTCCCTATTCTTTATCCACGTAAAATTCGCCCGCATTATAAATCAATTTTCTCATTAGAGAAACCAATACTATCCAATATTCCAGGCGGGGATTCACCTTTTCAATTTTGCTTGCAATTTCACGAACCTCCATAAACCACTGGCGTATATCAAAGCGCCATTTCGAAATCCGTTGTATTTAATTTTGCGATTCGGGGGAGGAGGGGGGAAGCCTTGAATCTCGATGCACTCGATGCCGATAGTATAAAGAGTGAATCGAGTTCTCCTCTCCCTGTTCCCTGTTTAATCCGTGAATTTGAATATCGTCAATCCGTTGGCTCGATCAGAAATTCGGGCGCGAGTGTA